TGGTGATTCTCTACCATCTCTTGGGCATCTTTACAGAAATGCGCTGTGAAGGAAGTGATCGTAAACAATAATAAGCATTGCATTTCGCCTCTGTCCGCGAAGCCCGCTCTTTGAGCTCCTGTAACAAAAGGAAGTTTTGAGAAAGCTCTCCGTAACTGGGTGGCCCATGCGACATTAGTGAAGCTGATAAATGACATGCCTGAACCTGAAGCATCTTTGTCAAACACAAACATTGCAGCATTCGGTCATTCAAATAAGCTTCAGCTGCAGCAGTACGCTTCTCTGCCTCGCCCAACAAATCCAAAAAGGAGACCAGTCAAGTCAAAGACTTGTCCAGGGAGGGAGAGAGAGAGAGAGAGAGGGAAAAGAAAAACAATACAAAAGCAAACTCAGGAAAGAAGGCAAAGTAGTTACAAGCCAGTCAACACCGGTGTTGGAAATTATCGTTTGGACATTCCTTCCGTTTGAGAAACGAGTTCTTCGTCCAATCCTGGCCTCCCCAGCTTTGAAGCGCTCCTCCTGCACCACAGCTTCCAGCTCCTCAGCCTCACCCAAGATTTCCGGGAATTGAGACTCAAAGTGAATCAGAAAGATAAAGAAAGCAAGTAGTCCAGACTTTCTTAGCAAGCAGTATAGGAGACATAAAACTCCCATGAGACTCTCCAAGAAGAACGCCAGTCATGGAAGAACCGTAAACCTTCCAAACTCAGCATGACGTAGCGCGTCCGTACAGCTTGCCTTTTGCACGGCTAGCTCAAGCTGTGCCTGCCATCACTCCATGTGAACTCTGGTAAGCAACTTAGCTGGGAAAGCCACTGGCATAGGAGCCTTGTTCTTGGCAAGCAGCATCTGTCAAGAAAAGCATCGTGCAGAAATGGCACTCTCAAGAGTTGTGAACTGTGAGAGAATAGAAGCTGGGGAAGACAAAGGGCGGGATCTGGAGGTTCACATCATTCTCTTTATACAGCACCGGGGCCACCTCTTCCACGATTCATGAGAAGATGCACAAAACTGTCACAGTTCAGCCCCGGGGGTCGCTGCCTTCTTCTCCTTCTTGTCCTTCTCAGCCTTAGCTGCCCTGTGACAAAACATAGCTCCACATTCCTCTTTTGAGGTTCCCAAAAAGTGTTAGCCAAACCTTGGAGCTGCTTTTGGAACTGCCACAGATTTTGCTGCAGGTTTGCCTCCAGGAAACTTGGAATCTAAGTCAAAGAGAAACGCGGTAAGATCCTGCCTTTTGGCTTTGGGGCTGCCTTGGCTTTCCCTGACACATATTTCATGCATTGCCGCTCAGGACATTATGACATTTGTCTGTAAGTGCACATACACTTGCAGCCTGCAGCAGTGGTCTTTGCCTTCGAATCAAATGCCAATCAACGGGCACAAAGTTACAGTTGAAGTGCGTTCAAAGACCTGCAAATTCGATGTTCGCTTTGGCGGCATTCTCTTCGCACAGCTTTCACCTTCAGGCAATTAATTAAGACTCTAGAACCTCATGATCTATGGAATTCGGAGACTGAAACTTGCATAAGTTCTAATTTGATGCCTTGCCTGAAGATGCGTGAGCAAGCCTCTTTGGATCCCTTCGAGCCGAGCTTGACAGTGCACCAGAGCATCTGAAATCAAGGATGCACCAAGCAGAAACCCAATCCTTGCTGTTGCATAAATGGCATGTGAAAGGGTTGTAGGTCCTTATATATCTGAAGTAGATGCATTGTTGATCCGTAAAGGACTGGCAAGTAAAAAGCGAAAACACAAGCGGATGCCGTTTTGGTTGAGTGCCAAAGAATGAAACGAACAGGTCTATTGCTGAGAAGCTCATGGAAGGTTCCAATCTCCGTGGAGTTCTCCAAAAGCCACAAGTTTGCTGTGCAGTAGTGATAAAAAGCAAGAACGTGATCCTCCATACAAACATTGCATTACTCGATATATCAAATGGTACTTTACAACTGACTGTACAGTCTGCTGCCAACTCATGCAGGAGGGTCTAGCTGGAATCCTCCTTCGGTGCAAGAAATCAATTCAAATCTGTATACTTGATCAAGAAGAAACTACAACTGCTGAGTCAAACAAAATAAATCATGTCCTTGGACTCAGGAGAATCAGTTTCCTGGTGGTAGTTCTGCAGCTCAGTTGAGATCTCGGCACCAAGGCAAGCAAATCTGGTTCAAGCGAGGTGAAGCTTCCACTCAAAGTACAAAAAACTGAAATGATGCAATCAAGCCCTACAGGATTGGAGCATTGCAGTAGAAGAAACCATTTAACCTGACAGCCAAACAAGAACGTGAACCCCTTGGAAGCCCACCAAGTATTTGCTATCAAATATTTGCTGCCGCACCTGGCGAGACTGCAACAAGTGAGTCATTTCAGAAGATTGCACTCTGTTCACTGGTATAGACAATATAGACTGGATAGTGTTGACACCAGCACTTCCATGTCTACCTACTTCATGGTCAACCAATGGCAGAAAACTACAATGAAGAACAAATAATAAATCGTACATAGCAAGGCAGTGAGAGGAAGTCTTTGCTTTAGTGAACCGCCTGCAACCACATCTTGTCTGAACCACATCTTGTCATTACGGTTGTACACAAAAATTAGGATACAAATTTAATACAGTAACGGTTTCGATGGAACAAAGTGGCAGCGGTAAGAAACTATTGCCGGACAAGGGATCAGCATAGTTTTTCGGAAGCGTCTTCAGACCGTCTGGCAAACGAATTGGAACCCAAGGATGTTCTCCAAGAAGCACACAAAAGAATGACGCTCAAAACTCAAAACCGTAACCTGTTTGCTGCAATGTGCGTTCTTCTTTTTGCTCGATGTTCAGTTGCCACAGCATTCCTGCATTTTGCCGCGCCTCACGCAGCCACGTCCGGCCTCTCGGCAGGGCACACAGCCTGGACAGGGTTTCCGGGCACCGGGCGTTTAAGTGCCGGCTCTGACAGCACAAACAAAATGTGCAAAGAAAGTTAAACCGAAACGAATGAAAGTACAATAAGAAGGTAAGGGTCTTTTTAAGGAAGGCCCCGGAATGTGTCATTAAATGTGTGTTCATTTTTTTCACAGTCTTACTTTCCTCTCATTTTTCGTGTGTTTCACCAAAAAAAAATAGGATCTGGTCTTGACGAATTAAAAAAGAAATATGTGTGTGTACATTATATATAGCAAGATTTATGGAAGAATAGTATTACAATATTATTCATGAGATCACTTTAGCCGATTTTAGCCCACGGGCCTCAAACTTATCCTTGCATTAGGTGTATATATATATATATTCACTGGTTCAACTTTGGTACGAAAACAATCCACTGTTCAATACATAACAAATCACAACAATAGCATCAGCAATGCCGATAGTTCAGGTGTTTCCCACCAGGTTCCGCCAAGGGACGTGATTCGCACAACGAGCACGATGTGGTAGCAGTACATCAGAAGAGCAGCTTTGAGGTATTCCTTGGCAACTTTGAGGAATGAGTAGCATAGTCTCCGCACAGCGGCTACACACAATACAAATGTATGCAAATGTCAAGAATGCCGCACTAAGCGGAGAACCTGACCAGCTCCAGCGAATTGTAGCAAGGTCAGCACCGCCTCGGTTTTTCTCGACTGTGCCCCTCGGTGGATCGTTCTGAAATCCCAAGGCAAGCACTGTAAGTGGGAAGACCAAGTGAAACACAATTGCCTGAATGCCATGCAAAAACAGCTGCACAAAAGAACGGCTACTATGGATACCTCCAGCATCGGCAAGACTGCAGTCCTGGCTCCAGCCAGCAAGCTGGTGTGGTTTGCTAAAATCTTGCAGGGTCTATGTCAGTACCAGAAGTTCACGGTGTCCTCCAAATTCTCCAATGCGATCGCAAGTTGAAGAAAAGGTAGGTCAGTGAGCCTTCACTACTAACAGGAAAACAACGCTTTTGGTCATTGGATGGATATTAAAGCACAATTCAAACATTGCGAACCTTGGGCCTCGTTCCACACCGACATGATCCTTGGCTCATGTTCATCCACAAATTGGAATTGCTTGACGCAAAAAGATTTTAGCACCATAAGATTCTTCAGATACTTACTCTTGGTGCAATCTGTGCATGATCATGTCGCTCTGCACCAAGCGCCACAAGACCTGGCCAGGAAGAAACGTTTCCCTGCAAAAAACTAGTTCATTCTTGTGCCTTCGTGAGGATCAAGCCCACACTCCAACAGTCTGTGGCAAGGAAAACAATTGGAACCTGCACACACTGCACAGAGGGAAATGTGAGTGTTTACAAGATAGATACGGAATGCAAATATTGTCAAGTTGGCAACCAGTCCACACGAGCAGCGCTTTTCTCTTCAATGCACTGGTCGAGGCACACGACCCTGCTCATTTCACAAGCACACGGCTCGCACTCGGACGTAGAGGCCAGATGCTTCGGCTTTCGCTTTCTCCGGTCGCTCGTCTATGGACATCGGAAGGCCTAGCCTCCCCACGGCACGGCCTCGTTGGGGCGTTTTGGGGGGCACCACAACAGAGTCTGCGGTCAGGGACCTCCCTCACATGGTTGCAGGCGAAGCGATGAAGCCCGGCGAAGCTCAAAATATGCCTGTGTCATGACGGTCATGTGAATGACAAGCATGTCCCTCGATTCCACAAGTGACGGGTGTTGACAAGCCGACAAGCCTTGACACATCGGACAAGCACAAGCCCCTGTAGCATCATGCGGTGGCGCAGTGAGGCAAACCCCTCAGAGATGAGTGTGGATTGGAGGCAGTCCCTGGACATTATATAAGTTTCTTCGATTGAAATTCTTGATCATATCACCTCGCATCTTAAAGATCTCTCGATGAGCTAAGAGACCACCCAGGACGAGCGCAAGCCTGAGCTGATGACGATAAGGTACGCATAGGGTCTGCGAATGGTTTGACTTTCCATGAAACATCAGGAAGGGATTGTCAGGCAGCATGCACATGTGGGTCTGGGTCAAAACGCCACACCAACGACACACACACATGAAACGGAACTATGTGGGATGCTCACCTCCGATGGGACCATCATATTCAAAAGCTTTGGTTTTGAACCACAGCCATATCTGATGGCAAGAAGCATCCCTTGGGGCAAAAAGTGTTTGTAGCGGCACGCTGCGAGTGACAGAGCGGCACGTGCCAAGGCCTTAGGCGCGCCAGTCTGGACAAGCTTTTCTTGAACCCTCGCCGTAAGACCCAGAGAGGTGTCTCTTCTTGGGGCCCTTCTCACAGCGAAGCAACACTTGTGAATCAGAAAGGATTACTTTTTGGACCACGGATGCTCCAGCTGTCCCGTGCATCTTCCACTTGTTGTGGGATCAATATAGATGCTGATGTTTGGCATTCGACTCACCTTCGTGAGTCACATGACCTGAATTCTGTGGCTTCTTGTGATGACCACAATGTCATAAGCAACGCACCTGCACCAACTAGGACAACGAGCTATATATCTCTCCCGTGAAAAGCCTTCTTGCACCATCATTTCCGACATCAGCCTCAATGACGGAAAGCTAGTGCAACAGCCACTTCTTGCAGGAATTCTGTCACCTGCCATCGGCAAACTTACCTAGATTTTGAAGAACTTGCAAACAGACTGACCAACTGAAGTTGCAGGGAATTGAACAGTTGGAGAGTGTGTGTGTTAAACCACCTGCCGACCAGTAGTTGCAATGAATCGAATATTGGAAGGAACTGTCACTTTGATAATGATTCCCTGTCGGCAAGCCTTGCCTCATTTTCAGAAGGTGGCTGTCCGCAACCAAAGACGTGTGGGAACTCGATACGTTCCAGGTCAGGTATTCGCAAGGCCTGCGTCAAAAAAACTGTTTGAAGGGCCATAAATGAAAGTGTGATATTTGTCGATTGTATCAATTGATGCCGTTGCTTTGAATCAGCGTTGGAAAAAAAAAATTGAAGAGATGGGAACGCAAAATTGGTCGAAGGACAACAACAACATCAAGGTTGATCCCACCTTGGAAAGAAGCGCCATAGGGGTAGAGCCAGACTCCTGTAACTTAGCCAGTTCTCAAAGGCCAAAAACCTTGCGATCTTGAGAATAGCGTGCAATCAACACAAAATGACGTTTCCTTGAAGTTCAGCGCAATGTCAGCATCTGCACAAACAATTGCGGGCCTTGGTGCAAAGCTACAGGCCAAAGTCTTTGTGGCTATCCTCTAAGGGCATGGCAATAAGAGGCGGAGCAAATCCAGTCTGACAGCCAGTTCAGTGATCTTTGGCGCCTTGGAAACACGGTGAGGTTTTGACTTCTTTCCAGCACTAAGGAGCAGTCAAGATCAAGAAGGCCTTTTCATGTTCCTATGAGTCAAGTGGACAAGAATCATAGGAACTCCAAGGTCTGCACTTCAGGCAAAAGAAACGACTTGATCAAGGGCTCTTCTCCTACTTCAGATAGACGCATTCCAAGCTCCAGTACAGCTTCATGCTCGTACTCCATGTCACCGAAGTTGATAATGTTGCATCCGGAGATGTTTCGCCCAGCAAAAACCGTATTGAATTCTAGCCTCATGGCTTGGTACTTTGCAGCCGTCATCTCCACGAATTTGAAATGCTCGATGTCTTCGTCCCGATAAACGTCTGCATATCGAGCAGGAATTGCAATCTCGTCATGTTGCCAGATCTTCTTTCTGGACCTCAGAGACCTCAGCACATCCTTTGCATGTAAAATTGTGGGACCGCCTGGCCCTGACAGAGATTGAAGAACTTCCGGCGCAAAACGATGCAAACAATCCTCAACCCATGAGATCTGAGCATTTGTCACGATGGCACAGTGTCCAGAGAACTCCATGATTGCCTTCATAAATCGCTGGAGTGATGTTTTCCAGTTGTTGACTAGAAGCTGCTGTTCCGCGTTCAAGTCATCCCTTTTATATGATCGAAGCTGAAGACCCCAGCGATCGAAGACCTCCGTGGACGGGAACAGAGTGTCATCCCAGTCGACAAAAATCAATGTTGTCGATGTGTCAAAGACTGGTGATGCATTTCCAGCACAGCTTGAAGAGCTTCCTGCAGTGGTCGTCTCCAGGCTAGGCCCTCTAGACACATTCTTGAAGGACTTGCTTGAGCACTGGGGACGACGAGAGACTTGTGTCACTGCCATCGCGACTTTCTACTGGCTTGCATCGCTCAGTTGCCAAGCCCTTTGATATTTCAGTGACCTGACTTTTGTTGCGTCTTCAAGCCTACTACGATATCTATATATATATTTGCAGTTTCTCGATGTTCAGTTTGCACTTTAACCTTCCGAATTGCCATTATTCTATCATGAAAAACTTGAACCAGTCACGCAGCAAAGATCATGAACCACTTCGAGAAGACATTGGCTTTGGACCTGGATATCTTTGGTTAAGCCTCACACACTCTACCTCAGGGTCGCATTCAGGACGCCCAAGAACGATAGTCTCTTGTGGCTGGGCAGTTCAGTTTATGTACACTATCTATCTGTTGCTGACCTGAGAAGGGGGAAACGAAACCGAGGACAAACACGCAGGGGGCAAAGAGAGTTGCTGTAGATGCTGATCGAGTGGGCGCAAAGTGGTCTGTTCCTTCACCAGGAAAAGAGCACAGGCAAGGATCTGGTGGGCATAGGAGCAACATGTCGTCGAAGGTGCACTCGCGGAGAGGAGGACAAGGACGGCGATCCAGTATACAGGTTCACACTTTGATGGCACACAGGAATCGAGACAATACATGGCATATATGCACTTTTTGATGAAACACATCGAGGATCTGAAAGGGCCATGTGTGCCATCATAGTGGTCAATTGATGCTTGGGGGGATCGGCATTGTAATCTACTAGAGCCGTTTGGCTGGTATGCCATCTTATTGTTTGTTGCAGGCCTTAAGGGTGTTGTACTCTGTTTGCTGGTCTCTCTCTCTCCCTCTCTCTCTCTGCCTCTCTCTCTCTCTCTCTCTCTGTCGACGCTTTCCAGTTCTCCCACACCAGAAACTCAGTTTCCGCAAAAAAACCTTTTCCATTCAGCAGCCCAAAGAGTGTCATGCACTGTAGGTTTCCTGTCTGTATAGTTTCTTTCCTTTGCTCCTTCTCTTGGACTTCATTCCATTTGCTGGATTCTGGTATGAGACTACTAGCTCGCTCTCACTCTCACTCTCTCACTCTCTGTAACTCCCTCTCTCTCTCTCTCTTTGTGTGTAGTGTGCCATCTTAGCGTTCCTATGTTCAATGCATACCACTCTTTCCTCGCATCCTTTCAACTGCCTTTATCCTTGCCTTTCTATTTAGTATTCTTTTCATGCCCTTTAGCCTGTTTGGACATACCTCAATTACTTGCCAGGGGTTCCAGGACGTCCTTAGTTATGTTAGTTCCTCTCTCTCTCTTTCTCTCTCCCACCGCGGCTCCCTGAACAAAGGCTTAACCAAGATCAAATAAGGTAGCCTGTGCAGCAGGCGCCTTATCTCTATTTCAGATAGGAAACAGCCAAAATACTACACCTTTTTCTTGAGCCATAACACGCGTGGTAGGTACGATGTATATGTACAACAGCTGTGAAAAATACCCCCCGCGGCGCCGCCAGTTCACTGGCAGCACCGAAGAGGCAGACAGCAGCCACCATAGACCTTAGGACAGGCTGCAATGCTATGTACAATATGCACGACCTACGAATGCGTGGTTGTAGTGGAGAAAGTTGCATGTGAGGTTCGGCTCTTTTTGCGCTCGTAGCGGGATGCTGCAAAAGGCAAAATACACGGCTTAGGTTTCCACCTAGCATCACGGGAGCATTACCACTCCAAACAAGATGCCATAGGTGACTTGAACCGTGAATTACTATTGACAAGATGAATGCACTAGGCATGCCAGCCAAAATGGACGCGGCAAACCTTCCGGTTCGCAACGCTGTTGAAACAGTTAGCCCAAAAGATGACAGACGGCTAACGTTCCCGTTAGCGTAACGAATTTGAAACTCCAATACTTCACATACCAACATGAGAAAGAAAGCATTCCGGCTAACGTTCCCGTTAGCATGGAAGACACACACACTAGTGGCCAAAAGGGATCTATGGGTCCCACTCCCAGCACCATCCCCGGGAGGCAGTCCACTTCCACGAAAAGCTCCAAGATCCGGACCACTCTCGCTCGCCGTAGTAAACCCGCTCCTGGGCAGGCTTACCTTTGCCCTTCTCCTTGCCCTTCTCTTTGCCATGCCCCTTGTATGGCTCGGACTTATACTGCCCCTTCTGCGGCTCATACTTGCCTTTGCCCTTCGGCTGACTCTCGCTCTTGCCCTTGCCTTTGGCCTTGGCTGCGCCCTTCATTGCAATGTCCTGGGCAATGGTGCGCTCCGGCGGCCCGACCACAGCGTCAGAAGGGCTTCCGGCTGCACCCTTTCCCTCCGAGGGCTTTGGCATGGGCGCGGGCGATCAGATTTGCCCTTGCCCTTCCCCTTGCGGGACTGGGTCCGCTGCTGGAGGCGTTGCTCGTGATAGGTAGGGCAGTCGATCTTATAGTGCGGCCCCCCGCACACGAAGCAACCAGAGGCTGGAGCTTTTCCTTTGCCTTTGCCCTTCTTGGCTTTATGCTCGGCCTGGTCAACGGGAAAGAACCCAGATCGTAGATTCTGGTTCGCCGTCGACTTGCGAGACACCGCACTGACCTTCTTGTGCGTCCCCTCGATCACCTTCAAGCTGTGCCCAAACTCATTTGCAGCATCGGGCCAGTTCAATCGGGCGAAGGACACAAGATCTTTGAGGATGTTCTCGGCCGAGCCTTCCGGCTGGCATTGCTTGTCGTTCCAGCCGATGATCACGGGCGGAGGCTGGTTCTTCTGCAAGATTGCAAAATCGACGTACGTGGCAAACTGCGCCAAGGTCAGAAACCGGCATTTGTGTGCCACGAACGCCTCATCAGCCAAATTGACAGGGTCGTCGTCGCCTCTGTCGAGCTTCAAGATGAAGCAGAGACGGGTCGCACGAGCTTCCATCTCCTCCTGCTCTTCTGCAGCCTGATCATCCTTTCCGGTGCCCTTTCCCTTCTTTCCTTTCCTCTGTCTGTTCGGCTGTTCTTCCAAGCTTCGGATTCATGCTTCGTCCGAGCCTTTGCCGGAAGTCCAGTGCATCGGGCGTGAGGTTCGACCTTGCACAGTTCACCGCATAAAACGGGTCGGTTTCCA